AAAGATCACCATTAAAATCAGTATGGATCTTTAGAAAAGTCAAGCTCCACACCCATATGATAACTTTTTTCCAACTTTAATAGAGATCTTTTGAGATCCTGGCGGCAGAAGGTCCTATAATATTATTACTCTTTTCAAAATAAGAAAAAATGCTTTTGAAAAACCAAAATTTTGGGTTTTTCATAAATTGAAAATTTATAAATTTAGGATTTTGAAAATCCTAATTTATATGTTGTTCTCTTTTTACCTCCTCTCCAGCACCATTTTCATACTTGGGCACAGTGTTTCATCTGTTTTAGCTCGGATTTCATCCTTCAAGCTAGGCTTTTCCTGTATTCCAACTCTGGGTTCATGATCGAATCCTGGTTTTTCCTCTGTTGTATATCTGGTTCTAAACCTGGGACTAGGTTTTTCCTCCTCTGCAACTTTAGTTTCATCCTTGGGGTTTAGATTTTCCTCTGCAACTTGGTTTTCACCTTCGATTTCTTCTGGCTTTCCCTAAAAAACTTTGGTTCCATTCTTGGGGCTTCGTTGCAAATGCACAAGCTCCTTCGCAGTTTTGGGATCAGGGGGACTAGGCTTCTTCAAGCCCCATTCATCACACCAATTGGAAATGGCAGTTTTGAAGGGAAGGTTAGGGATTAGGACTGAAAGGTCTAATTGGGTGGATGCCATGGCCAGGGCTCCCATTTCCTTATTTCCTTGTAGGCCTCGATGCATCTCCTATCAAAGGTCTGGCCTGAAGAAACAATGACTGGGTCAGCCATTGGAGCCATGGAGATAGGGCACAGGAACTCCGATAGCCATTATCGCTGAAACTTCAATGGCCGAAACCTCAGAGAGATTGTCCACCTTGCTTTCCTGCTACCCATTTCGACTTCAATCCTCAAAACCCTAAAAACCAACTTCTCCAACCATCAAACCCAAGCCGGATTTCTCAGTTACAGCCAAAAAATGCAGAGTTCTCCTCACGGAGAAACTAATGGTATAGAGTAGAAGAAAACCCTACCAAATTCACTACAGAGATTTGATGAGCTTGAAGAATCTAAAAAAAACCCAACCCTGGTCACTTCAAATGCAAAGAAGGAAAACCAACTGTAAATTTACATAGATTTGTTTTCTTCTTCTCCACCCAAAAATGAAATAAAAACGCTTAACTTCCTTTTAAGATATTTGAACGAAACCCAAATATTTTTTACATATAAATTTGTAATAATTTTACAGATTTTAAAAATTCTGATTTTTAAAAAACTGAAAATGGGCAGCTAGTCGTTATTTATTTATTTATTTATTTTAATTGTTATGAAGTTTGAAAAAAAGGTATTGATGTAATAATAAACTTTTGGAAATAATCTATAACAGTAAATATGATGGATATTTACGTTATTTTTCTTATTTTCTATGTCATGTTTGATGTACGTGTGTTTGTTTTGCATTACTTCCTCCGGGTTTCTTCTTTTTGTCTGTCTACTTATCTTTATGTCCTTTTGTTTTGTTTCTCCAAATTTTGTACTTTGGAGAGAGAAAATTATGAGATTTTTCATAATAATTTCTCATCATAATTTTGGAGAGAGAAAATTATGAGACCAAATAGAGATTAGTCTTGGGATTGTCCACCTGCATCTTGCCTTATTTAAAGTCATAGAGGGTTAAAGTAGTCCTTAAACCTAACAGGGGATTTGGTGGTCTGACACATTTGGTCCCACGGGATAAAACACAATTGCTTTGTTATTCCCAATCCCAATCATCTTTGTTCAAGATCTATTTGAAAGGAGAAAAAGAGGCATTTGATTTTGCAATCCAAAAAAAAAAAAAAATGCTCCAACCCAGTTCTTGTACCATGATAGATTTTGGACCATTCATTTGATAAATTAACAAATTATATGTTTTAATAGGGGTGGCAATGGGTCTCGTACGGGTCGGGTCTGGGTGGACCCTGACCTAGACTCTGTTAGTACTCCGGTCCAAAATTTGGACCCATACTCGAGCCCGTCAGGTCCCTGGTCGACCTATTGGGTCCCGGGTCTGGTTGGATCCATTGCGACCCTACGATTATAAGCTTTTTGTTTGTTTGCCCTTTTTTTTTTTACCACCATATACCCTAGGACTATGAGCTTCCTTTTTTTGTCTATAATATTGTAAATATGGCCAAATGTTGTTACAATATGAACACCTAGCGTGTGCCTAAAGACACATGATTGCCATCATATACATGTGATTGCGAGTATGGGTTGCCCAGCTGGACCCGTAATCGGATCCAAATAATATTCGGGTCCAAAATTTAGACCCATACCCGGAGACGAGGTTGGGTATCCCTGTCGATTCCCGGGTCCTGGTTCGATCGGGTCCATTGCCACCCTATGTTTTAAGAACTAAAAATCCTTCTCATACTCAAATTAATTGCAAGGATTTGGTATTTTTGCAGCAGAAAAAGAATCCCTTTCAATGAGTGATTTGTAGGTGGTGTTATATGTATAGTCTGACAGACTTGAAGTTCAGTAGCTGAACTAAACTGACTTACTTGAAAAGCTATAGAACATGCATCTTTCAGACCTGACCAAGAAAATATAACTCTATTAATGTAATTGAGTATGAATTGGAGTCCCTGTATACTGCATCTATGTTACATGTACTCTATATTATAGACATAGATAAGTGTGACATGTCTGACATGAATATAGGTGTTAAAAATGTCAATCTCATAGTCTTTTGAACATGAAACATATGTGATTTTAGGCGTTGCTAAGTACTTTGCTCTACACCTGGTCTTCTAATCTCCTTCTCCCATATTTATCGGGCGGCAAATGGGGATGTTGATACCCTTGCTAAATATGACGTTTCTTTACCCTCTCTATCTATGATGTTCTTATTTCTTATGTGTAATTAGATGCCGTTACATCACAATTTCAATAAAAGTTGATGATATTGTCAAAAAAAAAAAAATTTAATAAAAAAAAAGTGTCAAATGTGAGTATCGTGTGTTTCACATGTCAATAGACTGAAAAAACAAGAAGATCGTTTTCTTGATCTTTGGATGTATAAAAAATGTTTGGAGAATTTCTTAATCACATTATCCTACCAAGCTTGGTGTTTTAGTTGCAGAATAATTTGGTCCCAACGGACCACCATGTACAAGCTTCACTCATTATTGCTCACATATTTTCGGATATACAACGGGACAATTACGTATAGAGACACGTGTTAAATGTGGAAGGTCCACGATCTTCTATGGAACCTCAGGGTCCAGCTACCCTTTCTGCGGGACCACAGGTGTTAATTCATAGGGAAAAATAAAGTGAATCTCTGTAGGTGGGATTCGCGGCTACATCTTCGAAAAGGGTCATGATGAAGGGGGTAACGTGGCCACCTTCATTCATGGGAAGAGAGCCATCTCTTTCCAAAGCTTCTCACTACTTCAAAACTTCCGGTATTCCTTGTGAAGGCAGTGGATGCGGTTGCGGCTGAATTCTGCTGGGCTCTAGTTGTGATTCTTGTGTTCTTTTAGCATCTTCGTTCAACAGCTGCTTTGCGGTTGGTGCTAGCAGAAGGTGTAAGATGTATCCCTTGCTTCATAGGCGCGCCGCCAGGAA